CTTGATCCTGAAGGACCTGTTTCTTTTACTTGCTGGGTGAAGAGCTTACATCTCAAATCCAAATTCTGTTAAGGGCCAGGGCTGCCATATCATGGGTAAAACTCAGAAGCCAACTGCTATAAATTTACTGGTATGTGAATATATAAGCGCTGTACAAACACAGCATTTGTATAATCCCAGGTTCTTCCCAGTAATTTTCTAGGTATCAGCTCCCGGCGCGTGTAGTATCCAGGTTCCACACTTGGGCCTGCAGTAGTGGCCAGCCAGAGCTTGGTCCTTTATCTGTCATCAGACACTCAGCCAAGTCCCTTCTTCCTGATATCAGAGTTGGTAATAGCAAAGCAGGCACAGGGTATTTCCAGCAAATGTTGCCACCAGCTTCAAACCTGTCCTTGAATCTATGATGTTGAAAGCCTGGAGTAATGGTGGACATAGGGGTGAGAATGGCTTTGTGAGGATCAGAGTGGGTGTATGGGAGCAATAGCATCTCTCCCATCACATAAAAATTCTGATTCTCTGCGAGTCTTGGCAGCAATTTCATTGCTGCTTTGTCTTTTGGTGGAGGAGAGACTAGATATGGTCTGACCCTAAGCCATCACTGTCTAAGGATATGCTTGCTGGTAACATTCGTGAGCCTGCCACCTAGAGAAGCTGGGTGGTTGGACAGAACAGATCTACTAGAGAATGTTAGGGCTAGGCTTTCTGTAGTTGGTCATCATCTGTCCTCTGGTGCAATCAGAGGAAGGTCACTCTTGCCTTCCTTAACCACAGTCAGTTTTCCTAGAGATTAGACCAGACTTGGATTCCTTTGATGAATCCCCCACAAAGACTGCCTGCAAATGCAGTGTGTCTACCCAGGGAGCAGGAGAGGCATGAAAAGGAAAGTGGGCCCCTGCCATGAGCCCCTGGGGAGACATTCTTTACTGACCCATCATTATTTAGGCTCCCATGTCTCTCATGTGGATCATACAGCAGCTTCCTAACTGCTCTCCTTGCCTTAATTTGGATTAAAGCACAAATCCCTCCTGGACATGTGGTCATGCCTTAACACTCTCTGTGGCCTAAATAAGGATAGAACCTAAGGTCGCAGTGGGTGCCCAGCCCTCCTCAACCCCACCCCTACCTTCAGGTTTCATTCTGACTTCATCCACTGAATTTCTTGGCATTCCTTACATGTTGTCTTTCCAGAGACTTTTACAAATGCTTTTACCATGCAGAGTCTTTCTGTACTCCTTGAACTGTCTTCTCCCCACATCACCACCCCCAGAATTTGTCTGGTCTTATTCTGCCGATAGTAACCTCTGCTCACTCATTTGGGGATTTTAGATATTTTTTGGCCTGTCTTGCTGTCTTGTTCTAAGAGCAGCCAGGTGCCCTAAAATTTTCCAAGGGTTACCATAAGTCTTGTCTACTGATATAAGATGAAACCCACCTTTAAAAGTTGGGTCTTTCAAAGGAACACCTGCTACCAATGTGCTGGAACCTCTTCACCAATTGTGATCTCCCATGCATTTCACGGGCCTCTAAAGGTCTTTTTCTTCTACTGCTGGAGATTAGTCATGTGAGTCACAGGCTAATTCACTTAAGTCTTAATCCCTTTTAGAAATTCTCCCTCCATTAGAGAAGGAGGAACCTTGGGGGAGGAACCTTGAATCCAAGCATACACTGAAGAAGGTGGGTCCTTCATGTTCAATCCCTGAGGAGTATTCAAAATGATGGTTCACGGTAGATAAACACCTATTCCCATCACCATGATGGTAGCTGACTTGTCAACAAGCATTGTGCTAAGAAAGGTCTTTTCATGCATTGTTTCATTTAACACAACCCAGTGGGTATCATTCTCATGACATAAAATAAGAAACTGAGGCTTAGGAAGTGTGATTTGCCCAATCTCACCTAGCTGAGTAGTGAAGAAGTGGACTTTCCTGGGATAAACATGTGTATCTGTCATGATTATTTAATATGGCCTGACAGTAGATGCTTGATATATGTCCTTGCGTGAACGAAGTAACAGATGTGGTATATCACTGGTGACGAACCTGTGGCACTTGTGCCACAGTGGGCCTGCAAACCTTTCTCTGTAAGCATGCAGGCCAAGTTCCCCCAACAGCCGAGCATCAGTAACAGTTGTTTATTCTAAGTTGAAACCTCAGTATTCAGGTTTAATTGCTGTGTTGGTACTTTGTGATTAATAAGCGAGTTTTGGGTTGCAATTTGGGCGCTCAGTCTCTAAAAGGTTCACCATCACTGCAGTGAATATGCCTGTAGAGGAGGAGCAAGATGGGAATGAGGAATAAGATGGAAAGGATGAGCACTTTCTGTTAGAGAAGGTGGGATGGGACCTCATAGGCGTTTCTGCTTTTTAGGAAAAGTTAGTCAAAGCAATTCATCCACAGAAGCCTCAAAAATGTTTTGCTTTTCTGGAATCCCAAGGCAGGAAGAGGACTGTATAATTTCTTTCTCTGCACTTCTGCCAGTCTGGTATTTGTAGGGGCCTTGGTAGATAATGTCTGCCATTGTGTACTATTCATTTCCCCTCTCCCTGGTTCACACAGATAAACTCAAGGTGGGAGGAGAGACGATAGTAGTGATGTACAGTATAGTTTGGGTGATTTGGAAAATTGTCTGACCACTTCTAAGTGTGGTTCAGACACTGGGGAATTTGCAGTAGCCGCTCAAGTTGAGCGAGTTACTCAAATTGAAGGAGCTGGGGACAAGGGTGAAGTAGGTCTGCTTGGTTTTCCTCTAGCTGCCATTGTTCATGGGACTTGGCTCCAGCGAGGCTCATTTATGATTCCAAATTTCCAGTTCTTAGAAGGGAAAGATTACTTAATTCAATCTTAGGTATTTGCTAAGATCAGACAGAGATGGCCACCAAGACCCCCCCTGCCCCAGTTTATGGGGAACATACCAAGAAAAGGCATGATCATGAGCAGGGTAGCCAACTATCCTTGGGGTCTTCTACACCATGAATGTAAAATGAATTATGAGAATATTCCCTTTCATTTGTTAGAAAAGTGGTCAGGGGCTTTGTGTTAGGAAAAGTAAGACTGGGTTGGGGTAAGGATTATGAAAAAAATTGTCCAAATGATTGATACGTCATGCATGTAGAAACACTTATCCCATGTCTGATATACACAATACCCCCCAATGGATATTAACAGTTTGTCATTGCAGTAATAATTCCAATATCTTCATAGTTTTCATATGCAATTTCTAAACTTTCAACTTCTTTGAACCATGACTTACGTGGAATTAGCCAAACTCAGTGTTCCAAATCAACTCTTAACTGACGGGACAGCCAAAGAACACATGTGCCTTTGGGTGCAGCCTTTTCCTTTCACCATGCATGGTTAGAAAACTGTCACAGGCTGAAGAAAGGCACTCTTGTATGTAAGGTATTTCTTTAGTTCATTTACTATTCTCTTGGCTGCTTTTTTTGACTTCCTGGTACTGATCTTAGTTTAGGTAGTTTGTTTCTGAGTCATCCACCTGAGGCCAAGTGGCAGTGGTATATCTGCTTTCTGAGTGCGCGCACACACACACACACACACACACACACACACACACACACACACACACACGCACACAGGCAGACTTGTGAAATAAGGGTTCTAAGTCTTCTTTGGGGAGCATAAAGAAAGGATTTTGCACATTCCACTTCTGAGGTTATGGATGGATTACAGGCCTTTTGGGAAACTTTCTTCCCAAAGTAAAAGGCCCTGATCTGTTGGTCCCAAGATATGTAGGAAAGAGCAATAAGTGAGGATTCCAAAATGTAGGCCTTCCCTTCTTCATAGTGGTGGTGTGAGGGATGACAGTATCACAGTTAGGGCCATCCCTGTTAACTCAGGGCAGTAGGTGTTGGTAAGAGCAGATCCTGCCCCCACGATGTGGTAATACCTAAGAAGACACTTGCTTTGGATCTTCCCAGAAGTGGTTGCCATCTGTCATTGTAGGTTGAAATTCAACCGTCGGTTTCTTTGTTCAGTTGTTCGTTCGTTTGTTCATTTGTTCATTCATTCATTCACCCATCCATCCATCCATCCATCTAGCCAGCCAGCCAGCAACTGCTTATCGAGCTCTTATTATTACATGACAGAGGAACACTAGGTAAATAAAAAAACAAAAAGCTTCATTGCTGCTCGTCCTTTTGGCTAAGATCAAGTGTAAAAACAAAAGGCCTCAGTCTTAGTTAAGCTTACATTCTAGTAGGATACACCAAAAAGAAACAAGATAAGTCAATAAAATATGAAGTACCTTTGCACCAGCAGACGTGATGCTTTGGGCCCTAGTGCCCAGCGTCCTAAAAGCAGGTACTTTGCTTCTATCATATATCCTTATTCTGTCATGATATGTATCAAACTGCTTCCTACCCTATGGTGTGAGCATGAGAAGCAGAGATTGAGTTGGGTTTGCTGTAATTCTGTGGCACTTGATTTAGTGCCAGACACATGGGACACAGCGTGGTAATAAAACTATAGTCAACCTTATAAAGAGGGTAGAATGAAAAGTCCCATAGGCATCCAGCCATCACGAGTTTCCTGTGTGTCTTTCCTAAACTTAATCACTAGTAAATGTAATAACAAGTGACACATCTTTAAATGCCCTTTTCACCTTTTCTTTCAAGGGCTTCCTTACTTGTTTTTTTAACGGCTCTATTATCCTGTTTTAATGGTTGTACCATGACTTATTTAATGAGTTCCCCAGTGATGCTTATGTCGATGTTTGTAATCTGTGATGCACACCTTGTAGTGAATAACATTATTTATAGTTATTCACACAGGTGCAAGACTTTCTGTATAGGGCAGACTCCTAAAAGTGGTATTGCTGACTTTAGAGCATTGACACTCAGGACTGATTTGTGAAGTAAGGGCAGGAAAACGAAGCCCAAGTGTTGACTAATGACCATGTGTAGCAGACAAGTTACCAGTCCCTGCGAGTGGTCACACTCAGAGACTTTATGGTATCTGATTTCACTTTTTTTGTTTCTGCACCAGGCTGGAGATAGTATGTTCAATCGTGCTAAGCTTCTCAATATTGGCTTTCAAGAGGCCTTAAAGGACTATGACTACAACTGTTTTGTGTTCAGTGATGTGGACCTCATCCCGATGGATGACCATAATGCCTACAGGTGTTTTTCACAGCCACGACATATTTCTGTCGCAATGGACAAGTTTGGATTTAGGTAAGAGATGTTTGGCCAGAGTTTGCAGTAAATGTGTGCTCCTTTCCATGTTTACTGGGAAATCCATTTTCTCTGCCCAGGAGTGAATCTGAGCTCTGTGGGAAGGCCACCTCTGAGAAATGGCTTAAAAAAAAAAAAAAAAAAAATCCAGAGTCAGTTATTCTTTGAGAAGGAAAGAGGAAATCAGAAATTCCTGTGGTCTCTGCACATCCATACAAGAAAACTTTTTTAAGGTTTGGGATGGCTCTCATCTTTAAACATTTGCGTGATTTTCTTTCTGCTCTTGCCTTCCCCCCTTTTAGTTTGGAGAGCAAATTGGAATAATCCTTTGCACTCAATTTTTAAGGTTAGATGTCTCAGGAGATGTTCCTTGGCACTTTAAGAAGGAGCAAGGAACATGATTCTGGTTCCCAACAGAGCACAGGGTTCTTCTTAAACACAGAGCCCAAACTTTTCCACCAATGGGCCCTTGGTGAAAAGGCCAATGATACCCATTCTCAGAGGTAAGGACATAATCCAGAGTATATTGACATAGGGGAGCATGGCTTTCTAGTCCATTGTGTTATCTTAAAATTAAGATGGGGGTGTGGCTTAGTATTAGAGTGCTTGCCTAGAGTGCCTAAGGATTTGGGTTTGGATCCTTAGCCTCACCCATCAAAAAAAATTAAAAGTAAATAAGCATGCATTTTGTTCCATAATTTATCCATGTTTATATTAACATTAAAAGTTTAAGATTGTAGCTATCCATTGAAGAACATAAGCTTTTCCATCCTTTTGCTTTAAATAAACTTGCAATTTCAGGAAGCTGTTATGTGAGGTATCCTGTGTGTTAAGTATTCTAGTTTAGGCTGAGAACCCAGTGTGTTTGGTTTGTGTGGACAGCAGGCCTATTGCGTAGATGCAGCTACTTTCCACCACTCATTTTCTCATTTTTTTTTCTTCCTACCCTCCATTGCTAGGGGCAAAAGGGCTGTGAAATGAATACAGAATATAGGAGCTAAACTTGCTATCTTAAAAAGAGAAAATTTGAATGGAAAATCACATTTAGCCTCTTCAGAAATCTCGGCTCCCTCCCTTTTTGTGTATCTTCTCTTTGAAATACACAGATTTGTACCCTGACCCCTCTTGTTTCTCCTTAGTAGCATGATGATAAGCCAGGATGTAGCCTAAGTGACAGTTCAATTCTTTACCACAACACTATGCTTAGTTTACAGAGAACCAGTCAGGTTTGCGGGGCGGGACAGATATGTAAGAGAAAGCGACAGACAGCATAACCAAATCTTGTTAACTTAGCATGTATTTCCACTGAAGTGGCCAAGAATCTGTATCTATAAAAAAATTGATTATCAAAGCACCTTATTGGTCTAGTTACCTCTAATGTAAAGCCTAACATTAAAAGTATAGGCAGTAGCATGAGGTGTTAAAGGGTGGGCCCTAAACAATGTCACCTAATTACAAATGTATTACTTTAAGGGCGGGGGATTTAGCTCAGTGGTTCTGCTTCCTGCCTTGCAAATGCAAGGTCTTGAGTTTGATCCCCAGTACAAAAAAAATGAGAACAAATGTATTACTTTTAAATCTATGAAAGCAGGCCCCCAGGGATCTTTGTTTATGGATACTTGCAATCACATTCCTGATATACTTTAAAATGATTGTGTCTTAATTTCCTATGTTCTGTATGACTTGGCTGATTTCTCATAGTCTCGGTTAGAGTTTATTTATAGTGATGGGTTTTACTTCCTTTGGAGTCCAGTGAGAGTCTAAGTGTGGTTTGGAACTGCACTTAGGGTTGACATAAGACCAAAGAAGGCATTGGAGAACCTACAGGAAGACCTTTGTATGGCCTTTGGGGCACATTCTAATTCTTGACATTTCCTATCAATGCTTTCTCTGTGTCCCTCAAGAGTTCACTATTCATAGCCATTAAAATATTGAAATATAAAAAGGTATGGAAGGATGAGAACCCAGATGCTTGCTTCTTGGAAATATGTTAAAAATAGATTCATCGGCTGGGGATTTAGCTCAGTAGTGCTGCCGTCTCCCTTACAAATGCAAGGACTCAAGTTCGATCTCCGGTACCTTAAAAAAAAAAATAGACTCATCATTATGCATTTTCATAAGTCAGGATAAAGTAGAAATTTCAAAGGAAACTCTGTATGTGCAAATTTTGAGAATTATGCTTCAATTGTAAGAGTTAATGTTCAAGCCATTATATCCTTGCAAGAATGGAAGCCAGACTGGTAGATAGGACAGGATGAAAAAGGAGGCACAACAGAAGTGGGCACTGGGAGACTCTAATGCGGTCATAGATTCAAGACCTCCTGGATAAGGTCGTCTTCATAAGAGCAGGGCACATAGAAAGCAGGTGGCTGAGCCACAGTGGAACAACTGGGCTTATGCCCCTTCTTGTCACTGAGTATTTTTCTAAATAACCACAGAAACAGCACTGCATTCTTGGAAAGAGCTATATATGTATGTATATATGTATGCATGTTTTTGCAACTCTGGGGATTAAACCCAAGGCCCTTGCATTGGGCTACATCCCCAGCCCTTTAAAAAAATTTTTAAAAATTTTTTGAGATAGGGTCTCTAAGTCACTAAATAGCCGTGTCTGGACTCAAACTTCTAAGCCCTCTGCATCAGCCTCCCAGAGCAGGCTGTGCACCTGGGATCATAGGTATGCACCACTGCACCTGGGTTTTGATATCTGTGTCTTCTCCCAGATAATCTGAACCGTGATATAAAAGCAAAAAACCCTCATAAGCCCCCATCAGAAGATTCCAGAGAATAAAAGCAGCAAGCTTTATTTTGGGGATGTCAAAATTTACTAACCATGGGTTTCTCTGTGTCTGTTTTTTTCTCCAGCTTACCTTATGTTCAGTATTTTGGAGGTGTCTCTGCTCTAAGTAAACAACAGTTTCTCGCTATCAATGGATTTCCTAATAATTACTGGGGCTGGGGCGGAGAAGATGATGATATTTTTAACAGGTAATAGTCACAGTTTAAAACTGTTTCTTTCCAGTCTGGCGTCACTGTCAGTTTTTGAATCAGTGCTTGGTTATTCACAGTGATTGACTCTCAGGAAGAATGCATTTCCACCCAGCCTGGATCCTTAGCTGTGTACTCCTATAGTTCCCATAGGTGCCGGGCCAGGGTCTCTAGAAAAATTCACTTCTAGGCCCGGGGATTTAGCTCAGCGGTTTGGTGGCCTGCCTTGCAAGCACAAGGACCTGAGTTCAATCCCCAGTACCAAAAAAAAAAAAAGAAAAAAAAAAGAAAAATTCACTTCTGAGATTTTTGAATTAGCTTTAGAAAATGTAAAATGGAAACCAAGTAGAGGGATTGCTTTGATTTGCCACATGCCATTTGGTACTAAAGAGTAAACCTACATCCTTTGTAAAAATTTAAGCATCTTAACTGTATTTTCCTTTTTTAGTTTTTTTGTGACAGGGTCTCACTATGTATTTGAGACTGACCTGGAACTCACTATGTAGCCCAGGCTGGTCTTAAACTCACAGCGATCCTCCTGCTTCAGCCTCCCAAGTGCTGGGATTACAGGCATGCGCCACCACACCCGGCACCTTTTGATGTGAAATGTTTCCTTGGGTAGAATCCTAACCCTGTTCATAGAATCTTTATCTTATTTTTATTTTGGAGTATTTTTACCATACACAAAAGAAGATAGTCTAATGAACTTTTATTGATACAGTTGGTTTACAACCATCATGGCATGGCCTGTTCTGCCCCCTCCACATACCAGGGCATTTGGAACCACATTGTGCTTGATTCTGCCTGGCAGTGGAACCTTCAGTTCTGCCATCTGCAGATCAGAAACACCTCTTTCTGGGAGCTAATCTCAATGGTGTTTGATGCCACAACATACCCAGATGCAGCATTCCTGAATTAGTGTCCACATATCAGAAAAGTGTCTGTCAGAGAAACGCCCCAGTCATTTGAGGTTACCATTGTATGAGAACTTGGCATAGATCCAAGTCTTTGATATAAGCTTTAAAGAAAACCTATTAGATTATCAGACTGGTTATCAAGCATGCACATATTGAGCATCTACGGCACCTAGAGCACTGTGCCAGACAGGCCTCCTGAGGAGGACACTGAAGCCCTGGACCCCCACTTGCACAGAGCCACAGCTCTTCAAGCACTCTGGACTGCTATAGCAGTGTACAGGATTGATCAGATTCCACAGATCTAAAAGGTCAAGGTGGCCAGAGAGGGAGGAGTGACACACACAGGTTGTGGGACTAGAAAGATTGGTGGTGGTGTGTCACACAGCCTTCTCAAAGATAAGTTTATTATGCAACTCCTTAACTGTGTGCCAGGCATAAGATCAGCACCTAGGGGAAGGCAAGGCCAGAAACTTTTAGGTCAGCCTAGATCAGCCAGTATTGCTTCTAACTTTGGTATTTGTGCTGTCAAGGCCTCAATTTTGGTCAAATTTTGGTCAATTTTGGTCCTCAGTCCTTTCCCTTGGGCCAACACAGCATCCTCTACCCTATTCAGGCTGCCTCTAGTCTTACTCTGTGTACTCCATTCCAAACTGTGTACCAAAGGTACTTCTCCATGGCCAAAGTCATTTGGGAAGCCCAGTGCTTGTGTCCTTCTGACACTGGCACTGTTTCTCAGTGTGCTCTGAGAAGGCTTTATGATTTAGCCTTTGCCTTTCTTTTCAGCTGAATCCTCTGTCACTTCCTACCTCACATTCTTCTGTCAGCACCTGCAAGTTTACATTGCTACCTGAGGACACTGCCCTTACCCTCCCTCCTTTACCTTTGCATACACTGTCCTGGCTGCCCAAACTGTTTTGCCAGCCACCTGTTTGTTCTTACAACTTGGCTCTGCTTTTCTTTGTGTGCCATCCTGACTCCACCTTTCCCTCAGGCTGGCTCTGAAGGCTGCATCTAAGCATCCACACTGTAAGTTCTATGAGTACAGACATTCCCAGCCTGACATATGCTAGTCAGTGCCACAAACTGCAGAACCAGGAATGAAATGACATGGAGTAGAAATGTGAGTTTTATCTAATATTGCTCTGGGCTGGGTCCCAGCATGATGTTGGAGTTTGAGTTGAGTAAGAACCGCAAGCAGAATGGTGGATGGGACAGCAGTCTGGTAGCTTGGGCTGTCACACTGAAGCCTTATGGTAGCTCTGCGATAGTGACTTATCCCTTTATTCTTTGCAGATTAGTTTTTAAAGGCATGTCTATATCTCGCCCAAATGCTGTGGTTGGGAGGTGTCGCATGATCCGCCACTCAAGAGACAAGAAAAATGAACCTAATCCTCAGAGGTGTGTTTGTTCATATTCCTCTTTCTTCACCCTTTAAAATGGGCCAGGCTGCAGGGCCAAGGTAGTGGAGAGGGCTCTGTGTCCCTACGAAAAATGGAGGTGTTGAGTCTGTGAGCAGGGGCCAGGTGAGAAGGAGGGTGGTGGGAAAAGTATGTTTTCGTTGTTTCTTACATTTGTTTGATGCCTTTTCTTCCCTTTTTCCCTGCAGGTTTGCCCGAATTGCACATACAAAGGAGACAATGCACTCTGATGGTTTGAACTCACTCACCTACCAGGTGTTGGACATAGAGAGATACCAATTATATACCAAAATCACAGTGGACGTCGGGACACCAAGCTAGCATTTTAGTATAACTAAGAGACTGAAAATAGCCAGGGACCTCTGCCGTGTGTTTCTGTCAGTCTGTCGGGCTAGTCCCTCTCATTTGTACAATCTGAATAATAGGTCCCTTCCCTCATCATTCAGACACCTTTCCAGATGACCAGGAGGAGCGGAGTATTTTGTCTCCAACTTGGCTTGACATGTGACTTCTTCACAGTACAAGGTGTTTGTCAGTGTAGAAGCTGTCAGCCTTTGGGAGCTTATTGACATGTTCACAGTGTCACCCAAAGCCTCAGAAATGTGCACAGCTCAAAATTGGTGACTCTGGGACTCGGTCCCACTGATGAAATGCTAAATTGTGAAATGGATAAGAGTTTTGCTTTAAATTGTGATATTTTTATTACTTCATGAAAAATTGGAAACTGCTGCTGAAATTGGTTGGTATAACATTTTTTGGTTGTAAAGTTTTAACAGAAAAACACAAAATTTCAACAAGTTTCATGCTCTGTCCCCCTCCCTCACCCTCTTTCAGTGGTATACAACTATTACAATCACTGTGTTATGTGTGACTTTTCATAGCAAAATAATTTTAAAACTTGAGCCTTGAACCTTTGTCCTGCTTATGTATGAATCTCAAGGCAACTTTAGCCATCAGAGCAAAGGCTCTGGGTATTCTCACTTTCAGTGCCTATCTCTAAGTTGTCTGATTTCTGAATGTAAAGATTTTTTTTTTAACAAGCAGCTTATATTTTAAAAAACAAATCAAGTTCTCATTATGGTCTAGCTTGATTTTGTGTTGATCCAAATTTGCATAGCTGTTTAGTGTTAAGTCAGGACAATTTATTTTTCTGGGCATGTTATGTAAACTTGAATTTCCTCTGTATTTTTTTATTGTGTTTTCAATGTGGGAGGGGATTGAACATTTTTTAGGAGAAAAAAATATATATGCTATAATGGCCACATGTGGGCCTCTTGATTTATCTGGCAGGCCAGGTTTTATGAAGAGCAAAATCTCCTTTGGATGTGGGTATGGTCTTCTGGTCAGCATTATACTGCCAGACTCCTGGGACAGAAACCTGGGAACCAGGCTCAGCCAACTGAGCAGAACTCTCCACCTCCCCCACCATCCCCAGGTGGGCAGAGCAGAGGGCCTCAGCCTCCTGCCACTGACCCTATAAGGCCCTAGGCTGTGGGGTTGTAAATAACAGCAGTCAGCTTGTTTACCATCCCCTAATGCCTCCCCAGCTGGAGGAAATCTCTGTTCTAGGCAGAGACTGCCTCCCTGGAGCATCTGTGGCCACTCTTCTTGGCCTGTCCTGTATTACCGGTTCTCCTTCCTCCCTGCCTTGCCTTTCTCCTTTCTTCCTCTCCCATTTAGTTCCTTTGTCTCTTGCCTGTTCCCTTAAAATTTGCCTGTGGCACTCAGGGTCAAACAGACTATTCATTGTCCAGCATGACTGTGCCTTTTAATTAGTGATCTAGAAACTTCAGCTGTACCCACACCCACTGAGAACTCTGGTGCCTAAAGCCTCTCATCCCCTTCAGGGTTTTAGCAGGTGCTCCCACCCCTGTGAAGCCAACCCACAGGGGTCCTTCACAAACCCACCTCTCCTGGGGCTGTGTAGCAACCTGGGATGAGATGGTGGGAGGCACTCCTACCACGAAATGCCTTTCCCAGATCCATCCTGGGCTTAGGTCCTAAGATTCAGCTACCCAATCTTAGTGTTGAGCCTTTTGCTATGGCAGCCAGGACCTAAGCTACTGCTCTCCTGGGCACCAGCCCTGAGTGTGGAGGCTGAGCTGATGCCTGGGCCCTAATTCTACTTGTGCCTTTATCGCTTTGAGCATCTTGAATATTGACTTGGTTCTTTTTTCCAGAAGTTTTTGTATTGGTTAGAAATTATCACCCTCAGTTCCCCATGCCTTAATAATGATGTTATTAAAACACTGCACTGACAGAGAGTTTTGAGAAATGTAGAGGCCTTTTTGTGCCTAGATCCTGACTTTTCCAAAGTGCCTTAAAAGAAAGGAAACAAATGCCCTGAACGGTGACTTTTTTGTTACTTCCTTCACTCTTAAAAAAAATCTGCATTTTCTTTTTTTCCTGTTACATTTTCATTCATGTGAGTATGTGGTTCATTCTCAAAACCAAGGGAAATTCTGCTTTACCTATACCCCCTACTTGCTGACTTTCCAGTGCTCTCAGGGGGTAACCCCAAGCTCAAGACACAACCAAGGATATTTGCCCAGCCCATGAAATGCTGTGGATCTGGTTTCCTCAATGGAAATTCCAGAGCTGAGAGTTCAGGGAGCATTTCCTTCTCCTGGGAGTTACTATCATGGAGTTGTCATATGCTGTACTTTTCTCTGTATCTGTCCATCCTGTTGCTGGTGACCCCATGTGAAGTGGCCTTTGGAAAAGATCAAAATTGGCACGGGAGAGTAAAGGAAATGCTGTACTGGCTTTTAGCCTGACCAGGGTCTCTGTTGACCACTGTCCTGGGAGTGGGGTACCCCATACAACCAGGAAACAACTTTCATGTCCTCAAGACCTGTTACGCTATGTATTTTTATTTTTTGCATATGCAGTATGTATATTTACTGTGGTGAGGGCGGTATCTGACCTTGATGTTCAGAAAACTGTATTTTTGCCTGTGAAATCCAGTAATATAACATGAATAAATGACCCTATCTTTGTAACTATGGGTGGCTTCTCTTCTGATTTTGGATTGTTCCAGAGCTGGGGCTGCCTGCTGGGAGGATCTGCCTCTTCTATGCCTGTCTTGCTCAGGATATTGTAGCTGTAGGGTTGAGTGGGGTACACATGCCTCCCTGGAACCAGAAGTTGCCCCGTCTGAGCCCCATTTTTCATACCTGTAAATGTGAATAGAAGCACATGGAGATTTTTTTTTAAGGCTTAAGAGAGATGATATATTTAAGTCAATGACTGATCTCTCACAGGTCCTTGCCACACGGTATCTAGTGCCATTTCAAAGTAGAATTTTCTCTACCAGTTTTTGGTCACATTTACTATTTTCAACAAATGCCATGAGGTCAGTACAGAGCTCAGAGTGTACAACTTATGGTACAACTTAAAAGGATTATCCAAAATAAGTTTTCCAAGAAAGTTAACCAAGGGCTCTAAAGGCTTTAGTTACCTAAGTACTTGAGACAGTAAGTGCATTCTCCTTGGTGGCCCTGGTCAGGCACCAGCCACCTCTCCCATACTGGTTGGGTTGAATTGGCACTCCTAAAGAAGTAGGCCAGATGGGCTGGGGATTTAGTTCAGTGGTTCCGCTGCCTGCCTTGCAAGCGCAAGGACCCAAGTTTGATCCCTGGTACCAAAAAAAACAGAGGACACCAGTGTGTGGAACCGGCAGCCCCTGGGAGCTGTAGGCTCTGTTAGTATGAAGCTTGAATATGAGGATTAGTTAGGAAACAGGAGCTGAGAGCACAGCCCCTTAGGGGCACCCCAAAGCCATCTGGCTGTCTCTGTCCATCATTGTAACTGCTATGGAGATCTCTGGTAAACCCAGGCTTGAGCAGGGGTGGCCCACATTCAGCTCTGACCTTTAAACAAGATTATCTTTGGAACTTTGGACATAGTGCATGTCTTACAGATTCTGAAAAACTAGTGTTTCTTTTTTACACTAGTATTCTCAAGACTTCACTTCTGATACTAGTTGTGTGCTGATTTCTCCTTACAAACAAGCAAGTTGGTGGGCACCAGCTGGATTAGTATAACTCACCCAGAAGCTAAGAGCTCAGCCATAAGATTGCCCCACACTGGATACCAATCACAAATGGTAGTTTGTGATCCGTGCTTCTAATCAACGGGCTGTAGATTGGGGTTCCCACAACCCCCTCCTAGCATTCAATTAATTTACTCGGATGGCTCACAGAACTTAGGGAATAAATTTAAACTTACTGGTTTATTATTACAGGGCTTGACAAAGGATACCAATAAACAGCTAGATGAAGAGGGACATAGGAAGGGGAGAGAAGCTTCTGCTCTTTCCCAGTGTGCCTCAGTTGCCTCCATGTGTTAGCTATCTAGCAGCTTGTCCCAACCCTGTCCTTTAGATTTACATAAGCATCTATATCCTGTCAGCATGGTATGCTACTTCATTGGCCATTGCTGATCCATGCAACCTGCAGCTACTTCCCTTCCTGGAGCATGGTGGATAGGGCCAAAAGTTCCAAACTGATACTCACAGCTTGCTCTTTCCCAGTAGCCCACAAGAGTCACCTGACTGGAACTAAAGATACTCCTGACACAGGAAATGCGGAAGGATTGAGAGCTCTGCATCAGGAACTAGAGTCAAAGACCAAATATTAGAACAAAAGATTCTCAACACCCCTATTGCTCGGGAGATTGTGAAGGTTTTAGGAACTCTGTGCCAGGAACTAGAGGCAAAGACCAAGTATATATTTATTGAATCAAAATGTCACATAGAGCTTTGCACTCTGTAAGGTCTAGGTTAAAAGACCACAGTGGAAAGTAAGTTCACCCTTCTTTCTCCAAGGACATGTTCACACTAGCATGCACAGCATACCTGGCCTGTTCCTATGAGAAGCCAGAAGGCCTGAGTTCAAATCTTGCTGCTGCCTCTTAGTTCTGTGACCGTAAATGACTTCTCTGCCTCAGTTTCATGATCTGTGTAACAGGTATAACTATTTCATATAGTTGTTAAGAAAATAAGGGGAGCTGGCATAGTGGTGCACACCTGTAATCCCAGTACTTGGGAGCCTGAGGAAGATTGAGTCTGAAGCGAGGTTGGACTGCATAGCTAGATCACAGTTAACCTGGGGCTACATAGTGAGACCCCTGTCTCCAAAAAACAAAACAAACCAACCATCAACAACAACCAAAAAGACTGAGTTAATAATTACAAATTGTTGGCTGGGGATTTAGCTCAGTGGCACTACACCTGCCTTGCAAGCCCAAGGTTCTGAGTTTGATCCCTGCTATGGCCTCTCCCCCCACAAAATTACAAATTACTTTGAATATGCCTTGTTCATAAGAAGCATTATAAGTGTTGTATCTACTGCATTTTTAAAAAGGTTTGTGAGCTCTTGTGTTGACAGATATATCTATCCCCCAAATGTTGGGGACCTTCCTTTTTTGTTTTCTCAGGTTCCTATCTGTAACTTCTGTGGACATCAGGGTGACTCTTCCTCTTTCAGAGACACCCAGGACTTCACTGGCCATGATTTCCCCTACTCCGCTTGAGTGAAGGTGTTTGGAATGGTGGCCTTGGGGTAGAGGGAGGCTGGCTCCCCTCACATGCACATGTGATCATGGGCTCCAATTGACCAGGAAGGGAGGTACAGGGACGGAGGGCACCATGGACAGTCTCCTGAGCTTGGCCATTTCCTTGAGAAATGCTGCCTGTGCCTTCCACTTCACACAGGACCCAGAACCAAGTCTGAGCTAGGCAGAGCCCAATAACTATGACAGTGGATTTGGTGAGTGCCAGATACCCCCATATGCTACGTCTTTCCCATGAATGAAGATGGCCTGGGTGCCAAATCACTGACATATGAATATCTGGAGGCAGGGCTGTGGTGCCCAGAGAGGTAGGTTCTATAAGATGTGTAAGTGGAGCTTCCCTTGCAAGGAAAATTTGCTGCTCTTGACTAAGGCAAGCTGTGCACGGGGAGGGAGTGGGCAGGAAATGAAAAGATGACCATATTTCTTGTTCCAATTTCTAGCACACACCCAGGCTCCCTTTCTCTTGGTTCTTTTAGGAAGTGGGAGTTCAGGCATTCCTAGGGGCTAATTTGTTAGAATTAGAATAGTTCTTACCCTGTCAGAAAGGAAATGAGGTTCATCTGGCTGAGCCTGTCATGCCAGATAAGCCTCGTTTCCTTCTTTGGCAGAGTCTCCAGGCAGGGAATGGTGGCTGCTGCTTTCATCTAGGCTTCAGGACCTGTATCCAGGTGTGAGGCAGAGGAATCTGTGAAGCATGATTGTTTCAGGAGTTTCAGAGTGAGAATCAGAGGAATGTCACACTCCACAGACATCTGCCCTTCAGCAAGATGTCATCAAGGTGGGAGGTGGCACAAGGACTTATCATCAAGGATAGGTCATCAAGGTGTGAGTGTCAGATCAACATGCAGCGAGGCCCAGAAGACAGGAAGGGGCTCTACAGACAAAAGTCCCTAACGTTAGCTCTGCATTCCTGCTTGCTGGGTGACTCTGCGCAAGTTGTTTTCCCTTTCTGGGCCTCTGTTAACTCTTTTATTTTGTGACTTGTTCTCAGAATCCACCCTTGATCTCTCTATAGTTCTGCACCCTCCCCTGTAAGAAGTACCCTTGTTCTTGGGCTTTCCTTTTGATCCTGAGACTATTCCTGTTATCCTGAAGGTAATCACTGCATCTCTGGGTCTTCATTTGTGCCTCTCTCTCTTTCTCTTTTTTTTTTTTTTTTGTTGACAGTGACTCACTATGTAGTCCAAGCTGGCCTCAAACTCTTGGTGATCCTCCTGCCTCAGCCTCTGGAGTGCTGGGATTACAGGCGTGCACCACCACACCTAGCTGGGTCATCACTTGCAAAAATAGCAGAACCATCTCTGAGTGCTCCCTCTCTCCTTCACAGGGCTTCCTTGGGCACCAAAGGGTGAATAACAATCACAGTTCTACCTGGCAAAGGAGGGATGGATGTTGTTGTTGGTGCCATCACCCTCTTCCAGTTGATGGCTGTCTAGGCACCTGGCAGACTTTCTCGCCATGCTGACTGCTGCCCTTCAGAGGCACTTCTTCATCTCCATTCTTCTTCCTCTCGTTAGTTCTCCCTTAGGTTTATACAA